AAAAAAAAAAAAAAAAAGAAGCAGAGTTCAGACAAGCCAGAATCCACTTGACAAAAGAGGCATGAAGCCCTGATTTAATCATGATGTTCCTGACACTAGTCTATTCCACTTTGTCAAAGGCTTTTGACAAGAGTGTTCTGACATGTGTCAGTTAAGGAAATGCAATACATCATGAGCTAGGATGACATTGTCTAGAATTTGTCTATTGGAGATGAAAGCAGAGAAAGAAAGATCAATTACAGATATTATTAAATAAGAGAGAAAGAAAGATCAATTATAAATATTATTAAATAATTCAATGTGTATATTTTAAATTTTCATGTTGCTGAATTTTGAAAAGAATCTATTCAGCTAACAAATTAATGAAGTACATTTAACAAACTTTTTTTTTTCACTAAGTATATATGTATTCTATTTTATTAGTCTATTTAACTTTAATTGTCCCCCCAAGGCCCTATTACAATTAATATATGTGGACTAACATAAAGGCCATTAGAAAATTATTTTTAAAATATAACCCATGAAGTCCATTTACCTCTCATTGTATTATATTATATTAGTTCTTTATTAACAACAAAGTAATATACTATTCTAATGAAAATAGACAACCGCAAGTCTAAGACAAAGACATAGACGCACATCTGCGGAGGGTGAAAAAATGATGTACAAATACGCAGCAACACCAAGGATCGTCCGCCCAATTTTTTGATTTTTTCCAGTATTTGATCATTCCCTTATATTTGTGAGTACTTTAATTAATGTTCATGTTCATAATTTAATTTATTTATCATTTTTAGGAATTTAGGGTTTAAAAGCATCACTCAAGAACAGATGTATCATATATGGACTTATACAATTTTTTAATTCATGAATCATAGATAGGTTTATAATATTTTATAAATATTATTTTTTTTGTTTTTTTTGGATATGAAAAAGTTATCTAGAATAGACTCGTTTTTCGAAAGAAAACATGATCAGATTGAGGAAGATAATGGAGGACCACCAACTGTTGAGAAAGTTATTAATCGTATTGAAAAATCACCCAAAATTGAACAGGTGGTGTTCGGTATCAACAATCTTGAACGTGACCCAAGGTTACGTATGTCAATATCTAGTTACCCCGAATGTAAATTACTTGAACTATTTTTTTTTTTTTTTTTCCAGAAATGCAATTTTGTCTTCTTAATGAAGTATGTTATTTTTGTAAATTATTTAGTCCCCCCTAACTAAATTTTCTGGATCTGCCCCTTCTTGGCATGTCAAGTTGCTATTACATATTAGTATTTAGGGGTGTGATAATTTTTTAATTAAGAAAAAATATTCAACAAATAAAAATCACGGTGAAAACAAAATTATGAGTGAATGAAATAGACCGATATCAAATTAAATGTAAGATTCGTACAAATGATTCATTAATTTGATCCTTATTAGAAAAAAAAAAATCTTTTACTATATAATTTATACCACAAGTATTTTGTCCTCATTAATTTGATTCATTTCTTTGTTTCACCTAGCAGGACACTACACTTCTCTCAATCTCAGCCAAACTTGCCATGTTCTATACTTTTTACCCAAAGGTTTGCAAGGTACGCTTTGAAGTATTTCTTTAGCTAGCTAGTACCTCATTTAGGCCTTAAGTATTTTTATGTCATGGAGCTTAAATAGTTTTTTGCTTCGTAGGGAGCAAGTTGCACCATTCAGATCTCATTAGTGTGAGGTACGTACAAAAGAACTGTTCATACTATTAAGCATCACAACTCTTTTGCAAAACTTCTGTTTGCTCTAGATTTGTTTGTACGACATTAGTTATTATGTTGATGTTTATTTTATTTTATTTTGCTTTTTATTGTCAAAGTTTGAGTAGATTTTGTTTCATTTTTTTTTCTGACGTGTGATATAGTGTGCAAATCGTCTTTCTGCAAATTTTAATCTGAAAAATATATTTCAAAAGATATATAATTGAAGCAGTGATCGATTTTTGTTTAATTACCTTCAGTCCATTTAAATAGTTTTTAAAAATTTGACTAGAAAAGATTATTATGGGAGTGAGAAATTATTGAAGCACATACATAGGAAGAATGTGACTGGAACTTGTACAGAAAAACAATTTCATAAACAATTCACAATTGTAAAACAACAAAAATTTCACTTCCTTTCTTCCACCATAATATATTTGTCTCCCACTATCTTAACAAACTAACTTCATATATTCAATACCAACCGTTACTTTAAATGAAAAGATGTACAGGTTAATTTGAGAAGGTATAATGAACACAATTATAATAATAATAATAATAATAATAATAATAATAATAATAATAATAATAATAATAATAATAATAATAATAATAATAATAATAATAATAGTAATAATAATAATAATAATAAATATTAGAGAATCGATGGATTTTCATTCACTTGCCTCTCCCTTTCTCTTCTGTTTCTTTCCCGTTTTATCTTCAAATATTGCCAGGCTTTGAAGAAAGATATTTTCAGTAAAACAGAAAAAAAAGAAATTTGTTTTTTCTTTTAATTCTTTTTTCTTTTC